TTTCAGGATCACAATCACCGTCGTGATGTCTTTCCATCAGGTCTGATCTTTTAAATAATGTTCCGACCCTGACTCTTGGAATGGGTTTTGCAAAAGCGAATGATAAAATGGTGAGAACAAGAGCTAAAATTACAATAGTTTTCTTCATGATTATTATGGTTAATCTTGTATAAGAAATATGTTTAACAATTAAGGTTTGAAAGTTGTAAAACTTGAGAGTTACAAAGCTTGAAAGTTGTTGAAAATTAAAAAATTCTTGGCATCGTATTTATAAGTAAATCAGGTTTTATGATGTTTATTCTTTTACAAAATTGAAAATATTAATAAATATTAACATCTAACATATTCTTATATCCGTGTTTCAAGGATATGTTTCGTCCTTAGTACAGATTATTCAAGAAAACTTGTTTCAGATTAAACTTTTATTCTTTTTTTTACTTTTTTATTTCCTTTATTTTTTGTTGCCATTTTGACTTCAAAGAAATGTTTCAAACACTTTAATGCTTGATATGTAAATGAGCAAATTTCATCGAATCAAATTGTAAATCTATCCATCTTGATAACAAAAATATCAAAACAAAAGAACTTAAAACAAGAGTTGCGCCCTTTTACCACATCTGCTATATTTAATTGATAATTTTGGTACTGTATATGCGAGCTATGCAGAGAATTGCTTATTTTGAAACGCATAGGTTTTTTATATATTAATCAAGAGGTGCCTTTCGGCCATTTCATGCGATTAGTAAGTCAAAATAAGGATACAAATAAATTCGCAGCTTTATATAGTAATATTGTATGTATCAATCATTGCATTATTGTGCCGGTGATACAAACTCAAAAAAGGAAAAAAACTAATATTTTTTTATTTGCACAAATTACACGCGAGAATCACGACGTTAAGGGTTAGAATTGGAGTTAGAGTAAGGTTTAGCATGTACTAAAGTTTGCGAGTAATTTTTTTTATTAGAACGTAAAAGGTGATTTCTTAGACAGAATTTTGAGTTATCCGAAAAAGCCTTCGTTGTTATGCTACACCAACGGTTACACACGATTTTGTGATCCTGAAACTGATCCAAATTGTGACCTGGTGAAAAGACATCACGATGGTGATTGTGATCCTGAAACTGATCCAAATTGTGACCTAGTGAAAAGACATCACGATGGTGATTGTGATCCTGAAACTGATCCAAATTGTGACCTGGTGAAAAGACATCACGACGGTCCTTGCGATCCTGAAACTGATCCACTTTGCGTGTGAATAAGGCACACTTTCATTTCAGATGCCAATAGACCAATTTGTATAGAAAATGCATAAACAATCAAGCTTATTTAAGCTTTTTATTTGCATGATTACCTATTACAATATGTTTTGTTAGTCTGTAGTTTATACTGCATAACTCATGAACTGCTATTAGTTCGTTTTGTCTAAAAAGAAATTTGTTTATTCAATCATTCTTTGTATTACACTAAATGCATTACTGTATGTACATAGTTTATATCTCCCAGAAATCTTTTAACAAATTTATGAAAAATTTTTGAAGCTTATCATTAGATTTTTTATTTGTGTATTTTTTTCTTTATCAATTCCAAAATTTTGTTTCATTGCATTTTTTTTTTTTATCAATCAATTAAATAAAAAAAAAATTATTTCATTCATTCAATGAGATTTAGTCAATAAGTGCAATAAAATTTAAAATACCTAACTACATATATTGCGTAAGCAACACAAGTAGGAATGGGTTCGGTCGGTTATGGGCATTTATCGGTTATAATCATTATACTCACTTTATTAAATTTTGAATGGGTTTTTTCTTTTTGAGCTATTAATTAAAATTGGTTATAATTAAATTCTACTCATACTATCCTATAAGCAGAAAACAATATACTTTTTCCAAAATTTAGAAATTTAAAATTTGTCATCGGTAACAACCGGTTAAAACGGTCGGTTACTGACCGGAACTGATGTACTAATTACTGTATTGAAATTTTTGGAGTTCAGAGAAGATATCTTGCTGTTTGTATATAAAATATTATGAGCAAAATTTAATTCTGAGCAACTTTAATTAATAGTTTATAAACAAAAATCATTTCAAAATTTAGGAAATTTTGTAAATTGATCTTAAACAATTATAGCTACATCCCTAAACGCAAGATAACTAGTTAGTATAAATTTTAGTTTTGTTCACTAAAATTAAATACGTGCAGATAGATGTTTTTTTGCAAGCATTGCGTACGCTCATGCATTAATACTAGCGTTGTAAACTTAATTAAATTTAAATACCAAAATAATTGAATTTACTAATACTAATACGTACAAATTAATCACTGATCAAATCATAAAATATACATCTTAAAACGCTGTTAGTAATTTCGGTTCATATTCAAAAAAATAGCCCATATAAAAATTATTTATCAGTTGTTGCGTCAAAAATGTATAATCGAAACATCTAGAATAATCAGTTATATATTATTCAGGTTGGCTTGTCAACGAAGTAAAGAAGCCAACATTGTTGCAAGATCGGAAATGACATCATTGCACATGGATTTGTAAGCGTAATATGATGTTTATGCCGAGTCATTTGAAAGTTAGTATATACAGTATGATGAAAACTTTGCATGAATGAGATCTATCTTTGGTTTCGCTATCGCCCACCTTATGATATTAGGCTGGCTTGATCGTCCCACCCGTCCCACACAAAAAAAGTTAGGAAGAGTGCTATCTGTATTAAAGATCAATCTACAAAATTTCCTAAATTTTGAAATGATTTTTGTTTATAAACTATTAATTAAAGTTGCTCAGAATT